TGATGTGGATCGCTGGTGTAGAAAATAAACGTATTACTTGGTAGAGATGCTGTGATGAAATGAGAGATTTCACTTAGAGGCCACAGCAACTATGTAAAAAATAACAGTTGTAATGTGCCTCTCAATCCACTCTCAGTAAATGTTTTACTTTCTCTGTATGTGTATGCATTGTATCAGGGACTGCACATATGTTATTATATTCACTCATCGAATTATTGTCCAAAGCTCTTGACACAAACTATATAAGCTGAAGGCGCTAATCAGGTCAAAAAGGTTTCTGTGTAGTATTCAGTCCCCTTACTGTTGTTATGATTTATTGAGAAGGTGTGCAGCTGCTCTACTTGTGAAGCCAATGTGACATGTTTAACTAGAATCAGCTTCCTGTAAAGGTAGGACTACTCCACAGCAGTAGCTACTGTGCATGGTAAACTGCATTACTGTAACAGTGACCCAGAACACCAGGGGGTTTAACCTGTTTTAATAATAAATATTACCTTGCACTGAGGTAAAACCTTGGGTAGCCTCCTACGCTAGTTGAAGTCCTGGATTACGCATGCATTATAAAGATGCTGAGCTTGTAGTAAAAAAATGCAGGCTGACAGGGCTTGGCTCGTGAGGTAATAAACCTGACGCTTATCCGATGCTGTTTAAGGTGAGGCTGAGGTAGTGTGGTAATAAAGCAAGGTTTACCTTACCTCATATACAAAATAAGACTGCAACTGTAAAGTGTTTTACAATGAAGTCCTATAACTATAGAGACCATGATAAAATAGATAGTGTTAGTGATGTTTACAGAAAGAAAAATATGCATAGTCTTCTGTGCCTTGTTACCAAGTAGGATTTAACACGGGAACATTGGATTATTTGAATGTGTATACTGTTGAAGTGAACAACAGTGGACAGGACAGATGAGGTGGAGCAAACCTTTTAATATAACGAACGATATGGGTATTCTGTGTTGACCATTCAAAGCAATTGTACAGGTACAACCAGAAGTCCTCAGTATGTGCTGAGTAGCAACAACATTAGGATAATACAATGACAAGGAGTCATCCAGACTCAAACCAAAGCAGAGTAGGTATTTTTAATATTTTGAGGGGGAAAAAAAGGCTAACAATAAGCAGGGTCGGAATTGGGCACCACAACCATAAATTGTATTAATTATTGGATTTATGCACCACCCCGAGAACAGGGAAATTGACCCGAATCATGGGGCTTAAATAGTCTATAAAGGAGTAATGGGCTTGTATGCAACATAATCACTAATGATGCTGCATAGATTCATTTTAAAGCATTACACTTCAGTAACCACAAACAATGAAACATTATAATGGGACGTACATTATTAGAGTTGTGTCATTATTGCTTAACTTAACACCTTGATCAGTCAACCTCTAGTTCACGTCTAATGGAAATGAAGGATTAAAACACACAGCACACATTGTATTAGGAGCAGTGGGCAGCTACAAAACAGCACTTTATTTTCGAGCAATAATGTTTACTCAGCGTATTTTGTATTTGTATGTACTTCTTTGATCAGTTAATTGTTCTCGTACTTGAGTAAAACTTCTCTAAAGTAGCCAAACATGTATTTTACTTGATCCAAAATATTTGAGTCCTCTTTCCATCTAGTTTTTCTTTTTACAATACTGGCAAACCAAAATATAAGTGAACATTTTGTGTATCCAGCCAACCATTTGTCACAGGCAGGATGGTAAAATCTCAAGGCTTTCCAGAATGAATAATTGACATCTCTCCATATCCACAACTATAAGCCTGAGGTTTTTCTATGTTTCCTTCAAATCTTTCTGTTTGAACCTCTGACTCATTTCAAACATGCAACCAATGATGAATGTATAGTACAGAACATAATTCCTGAAGTTGCAGAAAAACAATAAATTACAATGAATTGGTACAGTTCCAAGGGGGAATTTCAAAGAGTTGTTCACAGGGAACCATGCTGTTTACAATGGGACAAATACACTAAATGCTGTTTTCTCCAAGATTAGTATAGTTGTTTTACCAATTTCCACAATAGTGAAATACTTCTTGAAATATCCTTTATTCAACAAGTGACAGGAGTAAGTTGGAAAACAAGACTAATTTAAAAATGATTGATATTCTATTGAACTGTTTTGGCAAGGTAACTTCATGACGATAACTGATGAATGAATGTTCTTACACAATTGAAATCGACATGGTAGCTACAATCACTATACTCAAACAGCTTGTTATTGCCTGATTTAATGTTTGTACCTGGGTAGGGAGTTGAACCTTTCCTAAAATAATGAGAAAAGGTCAGCATAAAGGCATGAAAGCCTGAAAGAATTACGTTTTTGGATGTTGTTTTCAACCTGTCACTGCTTATTTAATCACTCACTGGCTCAATACCAAGGATATTAGGAGACATTGGGCAATCAACCTCACTAGAAATTAGCCAAATAACTGCTATGTATACTGACATTATTATGGAAAATGTGTTAAAGAAAATAAGGAAGGTTGTGGTGCAGAGAGGGGCAGAAGCTCAAGTTAGAGAATACAAAGAGTTCAGGGAGGAGCAGAGCACAGCTGCATGAAAATAAATCATCCAACTCAATGATACAAGTCATCACTAGATCTAAGACTATCCAAACCAGCAGAATTCCCCTTCACACTGCTGCCCTTCAAATCCCTGGACTCAGATGAAACAAAAGAGTGTGTGTGAGTGTGTGTATCTTAAATGTTCATCTGACAGGCACATAACATTGTCAAGAGCCTGCGATGTGCGCACATATACTGTATACACACAGCAACACACACAAACACAACTTCAGTTTACTATTCCCCAGCAAGATAGTTTTAAACTTTAAGCGTGTCACCAAATTAGAACGGAAGGATGTGTGCTCGGTCTGCTTATGACTAGCTGTGTTGTGAAGAACACTCATCTGTGAAAAGCCAGTGTTTCTCTCTCTCCCCTAGAATTGCGTTCAATCATTCTCTGAACAGTGTTCAAACAAGTACTTTAAATGGACACTGCACAGTATGAGGTACATTTGGAGTTGCAAGCTATACACTATTTTACTAGAGGCATACCAGGTTCCCAATTATTTTTTTGTTTTTTGTTAACCCCCGTGGCAAGTTAAACTACAGATGACAAGTAGCCTGCTTACACTTCTTATTTAATATCTGCCCAGTCTGTGACCTTATGGGCATCATGGGAGTTTCTAATTGTGAGGCACACATGTTTTCTCTAGACTACTGGCTAAGAACGGTGTTATTAACATATAGAAAAGTTAGTTATTTGGATGATAAAATGTATAATATCATATTCCAAATATTTGTTTATTGGCCAACTGTTTTTTTTATTGGCTATCCTTATGGATTTGGAGAGAGGTCTGTGCCTGCGTGTTCAATCATTATCCACTTTTTCACCAAGTCTACATCGAACCTTGATCTACATATATTACATACATGGCAACAATGGCACCATTTTTAAATCAGGTTCTGGTTATAGAAACACACTACTTGAACTATACGACCTCTTATAAATGTCATTGTTTAACTGTATAGTGCGTTAATGAGTTAAAAAAAGTGTAATATAGCCTACTTCTTACGCTCTATTTCCTTCTGTACACTAGCACCAGCTGTAGGCCTTCCAGCTCACTTGCACATTTGAGTGTTACACCCTTTAACCATCTCTACATGGAAGCTACATTCAGATACATTTACTGTTATTCAATTGAGTTGTTGTGACTTAGCTTGAGCACGTTTAGCTGATTTATTTCCCCTGTGACAGTAGATGAATACACCTCGTCATCCTCAACACTATTTTCATCCCTTTCTAATGTGCCAGAAACAAAGGAGGTGTTTGGAATCATTGCAGCATAAAGCAAAGCACATAAAACAACCATTTATTTGATAAAAGTGAACTTGCCATTTTAGGATTTACTCATAATACCATTAGAAAAATCTTAAATGAAAGTACAAACATGAACTTTTCTGTTATCTAATTGATGAAACTAGAAGTGCCTGTTCAGCCGATTGCTTGACCTCTTGTATTGCTGCTTGCAGCTTATATGAGAACTGCTCATCCAAATCACTTCACACTGGACAATGCACTGCCCGGGGGTCATCAGTCGATCGGATTAATGGTTGTAAAGAAAATCGAAGGAGTGACATACATGCATACAGACAGAGCATCCTTCCATTTTAGTTGCAACTTTAGCATGGAACATTGAAATAGACCACAGAGATACAGCAAGAATCCTGGGGTGCATTTAAACCTTAAAACCTAGAATGCTTTGGTTAAATGGTAGGTGGTGTAGAGATGCCACACCACCCCTAGGTCACCTCTTCTGATGTACTGCTCATACATTGTTGACGTTTTAAAAATCGGCTGCAGAGTTCAGATCTGTGCAGCATTAGCAATAGCTCTACTTCATCACTTCAGCACCAACGACAGTTCACATTACACAATGGAGTTTGCTGCTCCAGTGAGGTTAAAGGCTCTCATTGAGTTATGACCATTAGCTCATTTGATGAGTGCTATCTTGTGTACAAGATGGCTTATTCAAGTATTTTACCTAAACTCTTGCCTGCAAAACTGTGCCGGATAAAAGTAATAGGAAAAAAACACCTTTCTTCTGGGAATCAACTTGTATGCAATAAGCGCTATATATTTGTTATTCCTGGAAGAGCAAACTCGGCTGAGGGTGTATTTAGAGAGGAAATAATGTCTCTTCTTTTATCAAGGGAAATACATTAAAATTGCATGGGAAGGGTTATGTTGAAAATATTAAAATTCTGAGTAAATCCTTGTACTACAGTAGAGCACAAATTGTACAGCGTGCCCAGTCACACATAGCTCCTGACAGCTGACTGAAAATAGCCAAGGCCATGCCATGTACTGTTTGAAAGGGTACAGACACTTAAGTCAGTTAGGGGATTTAGAGCACTGACAAGAAACAAAATAATTAATGAAGGAAGTAAATAATTAAATAATAAAGGGAGGAATTACTCACAACTCTCTATCTCGAGTGTGCAGTTTTGCTCATCCAGAGGATACCTTCTCAGGTCCATCATACAGGCAGCGGTGGTAGTGATCCTGAAACACAACACAGAGTATGTTCAATTCAAAGCATTGTGGTTACATTTGATGGACACCAAACTAGAGGTTTAGGTAGAGTGTCATGAATCAAATGTTATACATGTTTAGGGTCAAATTTGAGAACAGTTCAACATAATTCACAGAATACTGATATGCATTCATCTTCCACTTCACCAGAGGTAACTAAACTCAAAATCTTTGTAACCCTGCACAGGTAAATGCAGGAGCCTCAGAGGATTTGGGAGGTGGTGGCAGCAGTTGTTGGAAGTCCGCTGGGGATTACAGGGCCAAAACTAATCCTTATGTCCCAGTTTTAGCATTGTTTGGATAATCCTATGGGTCCTCTGCCAGGCTCCACCTGAGATGCAAGTCACAGGAGGGATCAAACTCTGCAGGGCAGTGGTGGCAGCAGTAGGCCAGAGATAACAGTCATGTTGGTTGTACTACTATTATTACACGTCATGGAATATGTCAGATGAAGGCAGAGTATAACATACTGATGATATCCCAAATACTATAAAATAGCTTGAGTAAAATACTACTACTACTAAATGGAATTAAGATTGTTTTCATACTTGAATATTATTATTGCTGAACACAAAAGTTACAAACAATGTGACTGGCAGGATGTGAACACAAACAAAATGTCAATAAAGTATGTGATTTCCAAGGTTTTGTGTCTGTGTAAAGTTTTAACGCAGTTGTCCATCCCTCCCTCTGTTCATTTGACTGACAGTGCTTTGCTTTGTGAACATTTTTGTTAAGTGCGAAAAGTTGTATAAATAAACAAGGATAAAAGAGATCGTGGGAGGACCTTTTATGTTTGTCTCCACTTAGAATCAAAGTGCTTTTCATGTTTTAAGTTCTTAACCCCTGAATTGTCACTTGAGAGGGAAGAGGATAATAGGTGCTGACAGAATCCAATTTTGACACAAAAACATGTCGTCATCTCAGCTATGGTGAACTCCACTTCAGTACAGTCAGTGATTACTTCTTATTTCATACTAGGAACATCAGTGGTGATTTATTAACAATTGTTCTGTTGAGTATTTATTATTTGTATTTTCTTCTTCCTTCTTTGGTTGAACAAAGACCAAGTTGACCTCAGACTGTGAGTTTCTATCTTCATGAGCAGCAGCCTAATGAGCCAACACCATAAAACGTCACAAATTGATAGGAATACTTTCAACATGTTTGAATGATTTGACACTGAGCTGCTTCAAACATAGCTGCGAGTTGACAAAGAGAACAAAAGTTAATACTACATTCTTCATAATTCTACTTGAATTCTAGCTGGAAACGCATTTTAAACCAGAAACGTGGACTGTAAAAAATAAACTGTACATGAAACATGGCCGTTTAAATGTGGATTATTAATGGGATCAATGTTTACAATTGGAATCTACTGTTAAAAAATAAATGTTTTTGCATGGTAAGTACTTTTATAATGCCTGCAAACAGTATTGGCCAAGGAACTATAGTTGTCTTGTCAATGCATGTCTGCGTAATAGGAGTGAGGCACAATCTCTATCCAAACAAAAAGACAGGGATGGATAATAAAGGGATAATAACATCAGCCAACCATGAGTCAATAGATAAGGTGACGTTGTCCATCAGACTTTGTGAAGGAAACATAAGGAGGTGGCTCTGAGTAATGGGCTGCCATTCTTTCCCTGGCTCTGGTCTTGTGTGAGAACTTGACTCCCACGGAGGGAGTTGCCACAGAGCAGCACAGCATGGTGGGTAATCGTCTAGGCACACCTGACACCATAGATACATTTGTTCCAGAAGAGAGGCTCATCTCGAGTCCAATCCTCTGCGTTACACAGCAGAGATAATCACCCTAGTGTGTCTCTATTCCCTCTTGCTCGCTTTCTTCCTCCTACTATTCTCTCATTTAGACCAACAGCAGCTGGAAAGTCCATCTTTTGCATCTTGAAATCCTGAAATCAAAGCAATCAAAGCTTCATGCCATTGTTCATGAGACAAAATGTCTTTAGCAAACTTTCTGCATGATGATGCAGCTTTATATTGACAAAGCTGCTGTGGTCCGTTTTCTATAGGCATCCCATTCTCTCTGTAAATCTGACCAACTGAGCTCACCTCAGGCACCGTATGGCAAACAATTGGAACCGCACAGAGACGTTTTCATCAACAGAAATGTTTGATATCTTCTGACTTTCAAGGACTGTCTGTATATGCTTTCTTCACAAATTAAGCTGGAGGATTTAGTTTTCCAAAGAGAGCTAAACAAATAACCAAAAATGGTTGGATCTTGTGCTCCCGTGTTGATGTTGAGCATATTGTCGTGTTGTCTTAAATACAACTTATGTATATGCACATATCAAATGTTCAAATTCACTTGAAAACAAGATCATGACATGATGTTTAATTGCATCAATCTGTAGCTGACATGGGGGTGAATTGTTTGGGGTGAACTAGACAAAATCAACATTGTGCTTGCTTTGTGATGGGGTTGGAAAAGGAGATGATCCAAAACCAGCTTATAGATAAATAAATGATGTGGTTTTGATTGCAGTTTGAAAAATATGCAGGATGATTAAATGAAAAAGCAAATAAAATAGTTTTCTCCCACACAACTCAATATCTACATATAAACTGAAAACTTGACATCTGCATCTGAATTTAGATGTGTCTATAGTTTATTGACTAATATATAACACCTACTTTATTGATTTGATTAAGTTGAGTTATATTACTGTATTAACCTGGGTTTGCAATGTGGTTGCATAAATGCTGTTTTAACTGTTTCACATCATTGCTTTGGCTAGTGTTGCTTAAGGAGAGGAAAAGCTATAAATGTAAATGAAATGTTGGGAACATTCAGTGGGCGACCATTAAAGCTCCTAAATAGGAAAATATGTTTTTAGGCGTATTAGTCATTGAAACACTTATAATGTTTTTCTAGCAAGCAACCACTTACAGTTAACTGTGTTCAAAGTATTTATGTTTACATTTAGTAGAAATAACTTCAACACATGTTTGCTTCTCCTACCACCATCAGTTAAAATACTGTTTTGCTATTTCCACTGAAAAACAGCTTACTTAGTTGTTAAGTATGAGGAATTGTGGATCAGATTAAATGAAGGAGGCAAGGTGAAATAGACCACAGGAGTGAAATAAGGGGAAAAGAGGAGATGAGAGAACATTTGAGGATAGAGGGTGTCATAAGCGAAGGGACTATCATAACAGAGCCTTTTAAAAGCAATACAGAAGTTCAAAGGAAAGAGTTCTAGTATTAACATGCTGCTTCATATTACACACCTCAGGGGTTTCCACCCCCCAAAGTGAGACGGGAAGGTAGTCTGAGATGGATTCCCCTTTTTTTTCTTTCTTGTCCCCTGTCTTTGTCAGCGTTTATTTTCTCACTGATGGATTTGCTGCTGGTGATGGGGCTGTGGCTTCAAAGTGTTTAACCAAGGAGTAAATTGCCGGTTAGTTTCTGGCAACTTTCTGATCTCTGTGTCAAGATGGAGTCAGCGGTGTAGAACTGAGAGCAAAATACCCAGGCCGTCTTTAGAAAGATAGTGTGGGAAAGGTTAAAGTTGTGTATGTTTGTGTTTATGTGTGCAATTACATTCCTGTGATTGTTGCTGTCACTCTGTGGATGTGTTGTTTGTGTAAGTGCCTGATTGAAGCTCAAGCATTCTCAAGCATTTACCCTCACATACTTTCCTACTTATCCCATTCACTAAATGATGCGCAGCCACATTTCTCGCTCTGTCTGTAGTATAGTCCTTGGGTGCCGAGTTCCTGCCTGAGGACACTGCCAGCCGTACCGACTGAGCCCCATATGTTGCATCACCTGCAGTGACCCTCCATATTTACCAGATTGTGCTCAAAGACTGTCTTCCAGGATGTATCAAACTTGTGAGGTCAAATCATGGCCAAGTAGCCTTGAGGGTTTCCAACAGTCATTAGGATTCAGGCCAAGTGAATGTGTTGACTGTTGGTCACATCCTCGGAGCAGATGCTTGAAACTAAATAAGTACCCAGTTTTATCCAAGTACTGTACTAAAAGAGTAACCTTAGACTAAATTACTTAATGTTCACTCAGTAATAGTAGCTTATATATTTAGTTATGTTTAAAGCTATCTATTAATCCCCATCCCAGTCTATAGCGTTAATTGCAACTGTTGTTTTTTTTGTTTTTCCTGACCTGTACATGTTTGACGCACTGTGAGTTTTAACCTATACTCCTACCAATATTTATGATTTACCAGTCATATTTTCCAATGGAATCACATAACCAATGTTACTTAAATGAAGTTTTCCCAGACTGGACCTACTGATTGTTGAATTACAACTTTAAAAAATCACATTCTTTCAGAAGAGTTTTGATAATGAGATGTTGATGCTATAATTATGTTTTGTCCAATATTATAAAGTTAGTATGTTGAAAAAGAAAAGTTGTGTAACTACGATCAAGTCTTCTGACCTTTGGCTTAAAGTGTTGTTAATGGCTAATGGTTAATTTGTTACAGAAATGCAATATACAGACTCTAATGAGGAAATGGTGGCCACATTATCTGTAAACACAACAAGCGAGATGCATTGTTGAGGAGCAGAATCTTCTCATTGGAACTCTTTATTGGAAATGTAATTGGATGCAGTGAGTAGATGCTGATAAAAGAGATTCATCCCAGGGTTTCATTATGGTGGCCCAAAGGCGAAAATAACCAACGCTTTTTGTGGGCTTATATGCATTCATTTGCAAATATCTGTTGGCCTGAAAACTAATGTTATTTTTGTACAAAACGTTTAACACCTTCACATTGATCTTCAAAACTAAATCCACAATTTCAAAGACTTTGTTTAACCTGAGAAGAAATACAGAAAACTTGCTTTAGGGAGTATAACAACACAAGTTAATCATAACAAGCATCCAAAGGGCCTCTTTGTATTACTGAGGCATGGTAGGCCTGACATCTAAAGGGGGTCCTTGCCTTTGTTCTTTATCAGGATAAATGCTGCAGGATAGGCATGAATACTCTTTGGTGAATTGACTAGTGTGTGCACATTAAGAGTGCACGAGCAAAAAGCTGTTCTGACAATCCAGAAGATAAATTGGCATAAGCCTAGACAAGTAATATCATAATGTAATAATTCATTTAGGGTTGACATTTACAGTAAATGCCAAACATAATATGTTGCCTTCCAACATTAAGTAGCATTGATTTTTTATGAATATGTTATTCTTGTTCCAGCATCCAAGTGATTTGGTTCTGTGGCCAAGCTACTCCCTATGTTTTTTCTTAGTAGGCTGTAGGTGGGAACCAGCTGGCTCTGGAGGATAAGTGCTCTCTGAGTGCTGTCATTACCTCAAATAATGCAGCTTTGGTTGGCAGCATCCTTTGTGTCTTTGAATGAAACTAATATGATTCCTACAGGCAATGGAAAAAAGCTATAAATACCCTTTATGAAAGTAAAAATGTTAAAAATACTGATTTGAGTGATTTGAAGTGAGTTTGAACTAGTTGGGAATATGATAAGACTGTCATTAGAGAGGCTAGTTATAAGTAGTTTCTGTCTACCAACTCTGCTTGTTTCAATTGAATGATTTTACAGAATGTTTCCCACAGCTGTTCTTGAAGATAATGAGGAGCTTTTATTTGTCTAGAAATAAGTCATACAACCACAAATTTATGTTTTTACAATTCCTTTGTGTGTGGACCAAACAAACAAGATGGTACTTATTGTGAGCTTATGAGTTCTTGTTGTTGGGTGTATTTTTTCCTTTGCTATGCTTTTTACCTCTGCCTGATATTTGAAAGGCTATAGCTCAGATGCAGAGACATGGCAGGCATCAACATGTTAGGAAGATTCTAGAAAGAAATTAAGTTTATTTCCCAAAACGTCAAACCTTCCAATAATGTTCAGAACAAAACACTGATGTCCTGATGAGTTGCCATCTGAATACTTGTATTAATACAGATATGTTATATATATTTGTGTGCTTATGTTGTCAAAGTATGTGCATTATAAATTACATAACCCCTATTATCATTCATATTTGACTTTCTTTGATGTATTGTTTTGCTATTGGACTCTGCAATAAGCCAATTTTCATCTCAGAGACCATTAAAGTTTCATGTATTCTATTCTAATTTATTGGCATAATAAATTAAATAACCACATGATTTGTATTAAGCTTCCAGGGGACAGTACTACTCTGTATCTGCATGTGCAGCGTGGATTTGTGTGCACTCAATGACTTGTGCAAGATCCCATGACCCAATTAAGGATTTGGAGAAATCTAGCCATCCTACTTTCATGATACCAAGTGTCCTGGGAAATGGATTTCTTCTCCCAGTTTCAATCTAATCCCACTTCATACAAAATAATAGTTGCACTGACTTTGCATGGGAAATGTAAAACCCCATATTCCAAGTGATTTGGGGTTTTCTATGTGCACATTGTAACGAGTGGTTGAGTTGATACTGTAGGCTATAACATTTTAACTCAAATAGCCTGACACCGGGAGGATTTGTAAGCTGTATCGCAGCATAATCTAGCACTCACAATCCCTCTAGCTTTCTTCTGTATGCTTTTGTCTGCTCTTGATGTTCCAGGCGATGAACCCAGTGCCTTACATAAGAGAGGAACACTGCAAGCAGAAGTTGCTTTAATATTAAGCATAATTGATTTCCTAAGGGACTGCCAGTAATAAGAGTACAAGATGTCCAGGGTGTCAGGATTTAAATTCGATTTACCCACAAAGAAATTAACAAATTGAGCAGGTCTCCCTTGAAAAAGAGATCAATGATCTCAAGGGATGCACCTGGATAAATAAAGGTTTGAAACCATAAAAGATGTTGATCGGGAAAACAACATCAAGCAACTATTGGATGCTGTATTGATTGTGTGTAATAATCTTACGTTGAATGTTTTCATTTTCATTAAATGCTCGAGGAACAATGGTTATGTCACTGTTAGTTTGCCAGGAAGATCTGGTTTTACCTGGCAATTTATGGTTGAAATGAAGGCAATAAATGTATCAGAGCGTACAAATAAGCTTAAAAAATAGTTTCCAATTCACTTTGCCTTCATGAATGCTTCAGTACAATTGGATCCAATGTTCAAGTTAAGCAAACAGTCCTCAAGTGGGTACTTTCAGGAATGTATTAAGCATCATACTGAAATGTTATTTTCTTTCTCTTTTTGGATTTAGCTAATATGTCAAGTTTATATGGCAAGTAGCTACCCGTACGATTTTGTGCAATAGTTTTTTCCTCTCCTTTATACTTGTCTCTTTCTTTATCTTTTGTGATTATCCATCTCTTAAGAATCTGATTGCTCTTCCTTCTCCTGTCCTTCTCCTCAACTCTTGCTGTGACACTCTATAACTATTTCCACTTCGTTGTGAGTGGAAAACAGTTTGGACTGTAACTAATTTCTTCCAACCAACCTTGGCATAAATGTTTATTCGGTTGACATGAAGGAAGTAAGACAGAAGTAATGTTAGGAACCTGAACAAATTACAACATGCTGAATACTGCAACAGGGCATTGAGTGAATAATGAACACAGACAACATTGATGAAGTAGACCAAAGAGAGCAATACTGACAAGATTTATTTTATAATGCTCTCCTTAACACCCCTATCTCTCCTTCTTTGGCTCAGTGTCTCTCTAAATATTTGGTTTTACTCTCCCGCAGTAGTGCTGCGATGATTTTCAATAACTTTTTATAGTTTGGGCATCAGAGGACAATTAGCAAAAATGAACTGATGATACGATATGTATGAGGGGTGAGAAGTGCACTGTCATCGTGTTAACTTTGAGAGTTTGATACTCAGTGGAATGGATCAATAAATTAATATTGTGCAGTAGGGGATTTGTTTCTGGCAACTTGACACAATGTGGACATGTCATAACATTATTAAACATACAAAAGTCTAAACAATATTCAACAAAACATCTAAAATGGCTTCCCCAAAGAATATTTAGAAGTAAAACCCAATGTTTATTATAAATAATACTCCAGTCTTTGTAACTCAATCTGTCAACAAACGTGGTATCTTTGTCTGAGACACTCATCCATCAGACTAAGTTCCTCAATTGTTCTTGTGTAGGAAACATGACTAAGATGAATGGATGTGTCACTCATCTGACAATATTTAATTCAAAGCTCAATCAAAGTCAGAAATGAGGACCGTGTTTTGCAATCAAACTTTTTCGAAGAGGTTTACGGTATATAAAAACATATTGTTTCTCTCAGCCTCTGAAACTGCATGTCAGTGCATATGATTGAGCAATGACAGGGAAACGCAGAAAGATAAACTCGAGCTGGATGCTGTATTGCTTACAAGCCAAGGCTAGAAAGTGAATTATAATCAGTGGTATCAAAAAGTGACTCGTCTAAACCGACGATAATGACATTTGCCGTCATTTGTTATCTAATATGTTATAGTTGACCAGCCTACCCTGCCAATTGACATTATAGTACCAGTGAAATGTTCCCTGGTAAATGTTAATTATTTATTTGTCATCATTTCAACAAACCATGCTGCAAATCAAGACATGTGTTTATAACATGAGAGAGAAACATTGGCAGACATCTGAGTTGTTATTTTGAGTCTGTGGCCCTTATAGAGCAGGCTGTTGTTAGTCAGTTTGTTTGTCTGCCTGTTATAGAATAATGAGTGGGTTCTTTATGCAAGTGAATTGATTGGTTGTATCAAGATTAGTTCTCCTTCTGAGAGTCTAGATAATTAAACCATTGGAACTTTATAATGAGGGCATAATCATGAAGCCAACAAAATATAAATTAATGTATTGAACACATGAAATGCAATTTACAGATCAAATACGTATGTTGTAGTTTGAACATTGTGCTTTTTCTAGAGTTTTGTTGGTGATGTAAATGGGGCATAAAACAGTTCAATATAGTGTTACAGAAGCCTTTGGTGGTGTGTCCTGTAAATCAACATCGTGAATTTTTCCCAGAGGCAATATTGCACCTCACGATAGTAGTTTGCTTCATCTGGCTCTAATGAGCTAATTACTGACTGAGCTAAATGCTAAAATACTAAAAATGTGTGCCGTGAAGAGTGTGTGGGAGAAAATATGTGTACTTCTTGTTCTGCAAAGATATTTTAGTAATTAAACCCTCACCTTAGACCGTACAGAACGGTACCATCCGGGTGCAGACGGATCATTCTATTTTTCACCGTGACACCGTGGACAAACGATTTCTTGTCGTTGAGGAAATAGGTGTCGGGGACCCAGAGCTGGTCAGCCACCCGGTTATCTAAGGTCAGGTTGAGAGGGATCTCAGAGTAGGACAGCCGTTTGTCTCGCCAGGCCTGCTGGAAGTACATCGTCAATGTGTAGTCCTGAAAGTGCACAGAGAGGGAGCAAAGGAGGACAGCAAGCGGAGGGGGAGGGGGAGAGCCAGAGGGGAAGGAGACAGAATTGGTGTGGGGGGAGGGATACAAAGGGAGAAGACATGGTTATTTGAAAAAAGGAAGCATTTTGCTCTGTAGTACTTTTCCACTGCAAACTCTCAGATTAGACCGGGATTGGCTTCAATATTGGATGAAGTTCACTTAAAAGCAAATGGAACAGTAGGGGTACAGGCCAAAACACTCTCAGTACAAAGCAATGGGGAATTCCTTAATTTGATAGAAACCTGAGGTTTAGACAGAAAGTGTGAAAGAGTGTGTCTGTGTCAGGGAGGCAAAAAGAGACAGATGGATAGGATTTTGTGTGTGTGTGTGTGTGTGTGTGTGTGTGTGTGTGTGTGTGTGTGTGTGTGTGTGTGTGTGTGTGTGTTAGGGTCTGTTAATATATGATACAATTATGTGTGGCTCGCTTGTTAGGTTTGTGTGTGTACTGTGTATACGCAGAGAAGAGAGGGAAATAGACCACATGTTCAAATTAAAATAACCTCCAAGCAACCTCAAAATATATCCTATATGCTCCATTTGCTTTGACAGTAGCTGTCTTCCCGGGATTAAGTATTGCTTGTGAAATGAGCTCACTATGTTGTACTTGCATAACATATTCAACCATTTTCTACTGTTCGTCTTCTCACATCACATCACCGTGCACAGACAGCACATAGCCTTTGAGGGACGGTATGTGTCTGCTTAGAAGAGGCAGTCATCACAGTGTGTTGGATATAATATGCTTGTTTGTCTTCATCATATGCATGGATAGGAGGAAGAGAATGCTTGTGTGTGCAAAAGTGTTACACAAACTGCATTTATTTTTCATTTGGAGGTACTCTGTGCACCCCTTGTTGTGGTTTAAAGCAATGTTTTCAATATCATTCATACCTCAAGTGTTACAATATATGGTTGCATGCAGGTGACAATGCATATTCCTGTTTATGGTTTCATGCCACCTTTTAATGAACAGTTGGTAGAGGGAAAGTGGCAACTGATGTAACACTGTGCCAGCAAAAAGAGAAAAAGGAATACTACTAAATAGCACATATTGAATGAAACAGCCAGGCAAATGTTAAAGAAAATAAAAAAGGAAAGGAAGTGCATGTTTGACGTAGTAAATATATACACATTATGGTAAGAAACACCCAGGATGCAGATAATTCAGATACTCATGATCCCACATAAACAAAACTGAATACACTGCAAAAGGTTAATACATGTCTTAACAAACAGAGGATGTTTGAAAACTTGCAGTAGAATTCTGTTGTGCTGAATCTAGGACACGATAAAACAGCCAAGCCAGCAGTCAGATGCTCATATCGCTTACTGAGGTTAGAAGCCTACCAATCATCCATGAAAAACTAAGTTAAATAAACTTGCTGTCGCAGGGAACTTTTTTTCATGACTGGCACATCCACTCCCTGCAAAGAGGCTGAACATGCAATTTTGAATATGCCCGTCGGCTACAGATCTGACATCCCACAGCACCTTAGGAACCGCAGGGTTGGATATTGACTGGATGGAGTCAGGAAAACACGAGCAGCTTTTCTCAGCACAACCCTTGTTTGACTTAAATAGGTGTTGTCATGTTGTTGTTGTTGTTGCTACCTTATTTGGCTCTGGCTGCTGACGAACAAAGTTTAAGAATTGAATTTGTTTCACAAAATATGAATAATATAGGGGCAATTCTGGCGTTCAGCTTTACACTTGGACTTGGAATGAAAATAACCAATTTCAGTTCATCTATAGGCTAAAAACAATAAATAAGAAAAACACTAAAATCAATTGCTTTGAACAACATTTGGAGGGGTAAATAGAGGCTTAATGAGGATTGGATTATTGACACAAAAATAAAGCATTTTCTTTACATGGAAATGCAACAATCTTGTCAGTGATATTTATTGTCATTTATAAAATATGTAACTTTAGAATCGTATATATCTGTTCTAGGCTTTGCATTTGCGAATCCTTGGCTCACGTGCTGCCCTCCAAACACTTCCATCCCTGGTCGATGGTTATGTAACAGCCCACACTCCGCTCTCTCAGGCATGCGTTGCACGGCAGCACATTAAGCTGAAGAGATGCTTGTTTCCATGTAGACCTCCTAAACTACCACCGCTGCACTCATCAATACACACCATCAAACAGGAGCATTTACTGTGATGTATGAAACATTAGAGGCGTCAAGGCCTTTCCTATTACCCAGTTTGTACATCCTCGCCTCCTTTCCTTTTAGTCACGCCGACAGGAAATGGGAATAGAGGAGGCAAGGAAGAGACACAAGGAGATAAGAGTCGAGGCATTTAATTAGATGAGACATCCTTTCCTCGGAGTCGTCATTTTAAAGCCATCAAATATATATGACTCGTGGCACAGCTGCATCAGCTGTCCATTGTGTTGCTATACTGCTGCATCTTATGATTTCTGTCAGATGAGCATGACAATAATCGTGACAACTTATAGGCCTGATTAACTTTTAATTAAATGTATATCTTTTTCAAACACCCATAAGAGCCTTTATTTATTTGTATGGTGTGAAGCACTTATATTTGTACTTGCACTTGACATTTTAACAATATGAGTATCACAGCTATAGGTTAGAACAGGGATGCTATAAGACAAAACTGCTGTGATTTTAACCTGGCACTGTGGATGGAATATGTAATATTGCAGTAAGTCCTTTGCAGTATATAGTGGCAGGGATATCATAACATGGGCCCTGATCTTGTGTGACATCACTTGCCAGCCCCATAATAGGCATCATTTGCAAAAAGCCATCAGCGATTCTGGCACACACACAACTCTCCCTTACCACAGGGCTCACTTTTAGAATCTTAGGTAGCTGTGAGATATAAAAAATAAAGTGACAGCCATGAAGGAATAAGAAGGTGCTGTATGACGGGCGGCTGATTATCAAAGAGTGGATATTTCCATTGTCATCCTTGAGAGCCTGTTATTGGAGGCCTATCTACTTGTGGGAGTTGTGGTTTGCTTTGTTGGGCAGCCTCTGTGGAGGTGCCACTGTGGCCAGTTTAATGTGAGCATTAAACTATTGTCAGAGACAGCTACGGTATAGTGTGCCACTCTCTCTCTCTGTCTCTCTGTGGGAGGAGGAGGTTGTAAATCACCAGAATAACTACAACGGACTAAGGGAGGCTGTCATAACAGCAGTCATAATGAGCATCAGTACATAAACTATATTGGAGAGAGAGGGAGAAAAGGAGACAAAAAGTGATGCAGGAAGAATGATGTTAGATTTATGGGAGCGGAACTTGCTGTGCTGTCAAGGAAAGGACAATACAACATGATCTTTATTTTCTCTCACTCGAAGCCACTACAGAATGTGAGGATCCATTCAAACTAATAACCAAGATTCAGTTCCACAGCACGCCTCCTACTGTGTTAATGTGTCCTCATTTCGAAGACCAATGTTTAATACATTTCTTACAGATTGAGTCAATCAATAAATACATGGACTGTCAGAGATCCATTTTGTTCATAACTGCTAATCTCGTTGTTTTCTGTTCTAAAGCCTTTTAAGTCAAAAGAATAGTTAGGAGAAATGAAAATAACAACCTATTACAAAAAAATTACAATACAGCTCTGAAAAGACAATCCAAACATTCAACAAAAAAGGGTAATTATTTCTGTAAAACACCCATATCAAATCAAGTTAATACTAATGCTCAGCACATGTGTACAACAGCTATATCATCATCAAAAATCTGACGCCTCCATTGGTCTGTTGACTCCGCTCACTTGACCTACCAGCGTACAGTGTAATCTGAGAAATGCACTGTCATCACCACTCTGCATTAACTTTTAGCCATCTAAATGAGTGAGAGGCAAATGGAACGGCCTTCAATTATTTGCTGAAAATTGGAGTCTTGAGCCATCTTACCCCAAACCACAAACGGCTGAAAATCCTCAATTAGTCATAATGACCAGGGTCACTCCTGATATGAAAGCAGTTTGGGTCGAATGTGAGCCTGTTATTGTTATTTAAATTGGTTGGAGAATCGTACATTTTCAGATTGTGGAACAGAAATAGAAAAACGAATAAACTCTCCTTTAGGCTGTCTAGCACTGTTCTGTTGGGCTTATAGCCTAAACAAATAGCAGGTACAATCTGAGCTGGTGAGTTGTACATTACCGCTTGCCATGCAGCAGTGGCCAGCAACGGTTAGATGTAACAAGTATAAATTATGTGAATGGGTAAACTGGAACTTAAGGGGACAAAGGGTGATCACATAATCAGTGTGGCACAAAATAATGATGTCCCTCCTGGGAGCTCTGTGTTTCTTAATTAAACACATCATCTGTGACAAGGCCCTGCCTACACCCACTATAGTGCCATCCAGAAGATGTTGTCCAAAAGTAACAAGTTACTGTAAGGGCACATCTTACAGCCAAAGTCTCTGTGTGGGCAGTTTTCTCAGACAGTTTTCAGACAATGCTACAGTATATATACAGTATATGCTTGGTCAGTCAGCCCTTCAGGCAGCATCATTGTGTAAAATGACATATTGGTATTTCATGGATATGACAGTTTGAGTCTGATATGATTTGACTGTCATGGAGACTCATGAATGCCAAAAGTGTTAGTGAGTAATCATCATTTTTGTTTGGTTGACTCTTCTGCACTGCATTGGTCTTGATTATGAACAATCTATAGATGTCTTGGCCTCTATGTAGGGCATTCAGTTATAACCTTCAACAAATTAGAGAACTAGAGACAAATCTAACTTTGTGATGTTGTTTATTTTCCAAATAGATCAGCAGCAATCAGAATTAAAAAAATGTGGATATCAGAAGAAATGATTCATTTTGGCCACTAGATGTCCTGTAATCAACAACAAAGTCACATTGGGCATTTAAACAAACAACTAAATATGTTTTTTTGTCTATTTGTCCTTCGGAGGAAACCGACAGAAGCTTGGAAT